AGAAAGGAGAGGTAATAATAAAATAATGTTCAAAATTAATTGGACCAATTGTATTAGGTGTAATTCAAGGTTATATGTGTTAAAAAAATAGGTTTTAAAAATAAACAAAATTTTCCTCCCTCCTTTATCCTTACCCTCCCAAGTTCCCTTTGTTATTTTCTTCTACTCTCAAAATATAATAGACTTAAAAACCTGAAAACATAATTTCAAAATTGAACCTAGAAATATCCCTCTTACCTTTACTTCTTTGTACCCCTACTCATTTTTGTACCCTACACACTATTTTTCTTATTACTGAGAGAACAAAGTAGTTGAGGAAACTAATAAAATAGTTACGAATACCATTTTGGTTAGTAAACTATACTGCTGCTAATTTGATAGTCAGGTATACGATTTATTATATAGTAAAAAGTTAAATAGTTGTCACTATTTTATTAGTAAGGGGAACTTACTTTTGTTAGTACCAACAACTAATAAATATTGTAACAGATAACATTTAGTTAGTTAACCTTAACAATGAAATTTAGGTAAGTTTACTAATAAAATAGGTAATTCGATAAATTAAATACTTACAACCGGTATTATTTATTTAATATTATTCACATTCAAAAAAATATGTTAAAAGTTAATATAACTTTCTTGTTGTACCAAGTAAAATATAAATCTTATATTAAACATATTTTTTGAATGATGCGAATAATAATAAATAAATTTTATAGGTTAGGTTTATTGGTTAAATTGTTACTTACATTCAAAACGATCTACATATTCTTCGAACCCCCATGAGATTAATAACTTCTGCAAATCTGTTGCACTTTTTTAACACTCAGTAAAATAATTTATATAGAAATTATATAATTACATAAAATGTATAAGAACATAAACACAAATGACCACGTTTTCTCACGACATTGCTTGATGAGCATGAGCTAGCTTCACAGTGTTGCCAATCGAATTGCTAACAACTGCCAACCGCATTTACTAAAAAAAATGATAAACCCGCCTACTCTGTTAGTTAAACTTTTGCATTGGTTGTAAGTGGAACTATTTTTTATTGGAGTGGTTATTATTTCCTGTTGACCAATTCTAAATAGTTGCGCTTGACATCGAAAATATTAAAATTCACTAAAAACATTACTTCATGAATAAATACTTCCTTTACTAAAAAAAAGTAGTAGCCCCAACCATTCATTTCTCTTAGTGCACTGAAAATAGGGTTTGGTATTGACAACCAAACGTTTGGTTGGTATTTAAGCAAGCAAAATTTTTTTGTTGAATCAACAAAATTTTAATTGTCTCCAATCAAAACTTGTTTGACACAACCAAAATTAGAAAAAAAGGATTTTTGTTGTCCTAACTAAAGTTTTATTGGGACAAGCAAAATTTTGTTGATTGAACAAAAAAAATTTTGTTTACTTAAATACCAACCAAACGTTTGGTTAATACCAAACCCTATTTTTAGTATGTATTTATTATATTTAAGGTGGTACCCTTAAACGAAAAGATGAATTTTTGTACTTACTAAACTTCTGGAACTAACAAATTTTGTTTGGTCGCTACAATAAATCTATATTATTGCACTAACAATACAGATTTGTTGTAGTGACCAAACAAAATTTGTTAGGTCCAGACGTTTAGTAAGTACAACAGTTTATTTTTCTCCGTGAACCAATAAAATAATTAAAAATTAACAGAAAAGAGAGATATTAATTTCAAATTCATTTTCGAAAATTAATTGCCCTTTTTATTAAAAAAAAACGAATTAAAAAAAACGCAATGAAATTCGACTTTAACATAGGTTGTAATTCAATTTTGTAGGTGGAACAGTTTGATATAGAATGACTTATATAATAGATTTGCTACAACAAAAAAGGAATTTTCAACGACTTTTGTTGTTCATCAGTGGTAAGGACAAAAAGGAAAAGAATCGAATTATATATTATGTACACCTACCCCATTCGCGGCGAGTAACTATTCATAATTTTATCCGCAAGTGCCAGAGGTTAATAATGTAAACTCCAAGGCTTGCACCGCTTGCACTTCGTTTATTCACGGAACAAAATTTGCATACCAAGAGATTGAATAAGCGCAAATATGTTTCTCAATAATGTGTGTTGTGCATCAGGAAACCGATGATCGATGAACTGAAATGTACTGTTAAATACTTTCGGAAAATACATAATATATAACCTTCTCGAACCCATCAGTGGATTTTCGCAGCTAAAGGCGGTTTGTTATATAGAAAATCCCAGGAAAGTTAGTGAGGAATATATATATATATGCTTAGAAACCATAGCAATCTAGGAAATTGCTTGCGAAAATTTCTTGTGTGTGTGTGTATTGGTTGAGGTAATGATGGTATAATATCAACCATTTTTCTTGCGTCACTACTCATACATATATATTCCTTTTAAATGAAGTAGTTAAGGCCTTTCATGGCAAGACCTATTCTTGCACTAATATATGAGCTTCGAAACTGCCAAGGACTCTTTCTAATTTCTTGATAGATGTATTCATTTTCTTCTATATAAATTCTTTCAGTTTCTTATATATTATCATTTTACACTTTCCATCTCTTTTCAATCTTTCTCTTTTTCAATTGAAAATAAATTTACCAAGATCGTTTTCATCAATTTTGTTATACAATCGATAAAATAATCTTCAATTGAAGTTGATAATCATTAATTTCCCAATTTCTTATTATCATAATAACAAAGGCATGCAAAATTTCACTTGTGTCTGTTACAAAAATAGGGGGAGGTGATTCTTTTAGATTTTTCCGCACGCAGAATTCGAAAATTACCTCTAAAATGGACCATCACGTCAGCATTTTTTGTAATATTAACTTAAATGAACAAAAATGACTATTTTGGTCATTTTTGTAGCTTACAAAAATGTTTTTTTTTTTTTTTCATTTTCCCAAATTGTATCCTATATTTACTAATTTTATGCATTAAAACACCTTTGTTGCAAATTGATTTACGATTTTTTCAAAAAAAGAAACGAATAGTTGCGATTACCATTTCGTTAATAAGAGTATTTTTGCTAATTTATATTAGTTACTTTTTACCATTTAGTTAGTAAAGTAACTAATTAAATAGTTATTCTTACAAACTAATTAGTTAAACCAACTATAATAAAATAGTTACGCCAATCAATAAAAATAGAAACCACAACTAATAAATTAGCAGCAGTATAGTTTACTAACTAAAAATGGTAACCATAACCAATTTTTTCTCTCAGTGTATTTATCTGATCTGAAATTTGTTACATATAAATTGCGCCGGGCAAATTTTTACCTACATTGTAAAAAAAGATTTTAATTTTACTATTTAAATAATAGAATTACAAGATTCTGTAACAAATTTCGTTAAAGAATTATTTGATTTTACTGCACTCAGTAAATTTGCCCTACTGTGTTATGGTTTTTTTCCTCGTATACACTATATGTAATTTTATGGACGAGTGTAAAGTTACATTTTTTTAGTTAATTTACATTTTGAAAATGTAAATATCATGAATTTTGTAAAATTACTAAATAAAAAGTAAAAAAGCAATTTTTTCATTGTAAAATCATAGGGGAGAGTTGCCAGTTGTGAGACACCGCCAGTTGTGAGACAGTCGATTTTTTTTAACGCGTAATATTAAAAAGCCGATTGCTTTATATAAAAACATTTCTTTTAATATGAGTCAACTTTTGCGTGTACACTGAAGCGGATATATATATATTGCTTGTATTAAATGCCAACGCACCGTGTTGTGAGAATCGACTGAAATCCATTTTTTCAATATAAGCAAATTACTTTTTTTCTAAGTTAATTAATTAGTAAAGGTAAATGTTATGCATTTTCACTTAGTACTTTCCTTATACTTTGTGATGCAATATTGCATTTTTCAAAATCTGCGGTTGAAAAGAATTTTTTTTCGTTTTTAAAAATAGCGCCAATTTCTGGTTGTGAGACACAACATGTTACCAATGTTACCAGTTGTGAGACGGTGGCGCCATCCATCTGGGATAGCCTATACTTTTTTTATATAGCTTAAAACGCTCAATTCAGTTTAGTTCGTTGTGTTCTTTTGACAACACAGTATTTAAATATTGTTTTAATTTCTTTTCCCGTATTTTTGGGCATGTCAAATAAAAGAAAGTCAACCGAATTAGAAAAAGTCAATTTTAATGCTCTTATGCATATTTAATATAAATAAATAAAAAAAAATAAATAATAATATTATTTTGTATACAATGATATATATCATTAATATATTTAACTATCTATAATAAAAATAACATTTTAAGCAAAAGTTTTAAAATTTTAACAACTTTTTATAAGTGTCTCACAACTGGCCAATTTTTTTTTTTTTTTTTTGACAAAAAACATGTGCTCAAAAAGTTGATCATAAAATTTTTTGAGTTCTTCTAAATATTATACTTCCTCTGAATAAAAGTTTCGTATTTACTTTACTTTTCGAATGGTGTTTTTTTTCAATTTCGTTTACCCATTTACAATTTATAAGTCAGAAACAAAACCCGTCTCTTAACTGGCAACTCTCCCCTATATTGATAGAAAAATACATCGACAATTAAATTTTCTTTAAATTTAAAAATTTGTTTACTTTTGCATTTTTTTGGCCTAATTTCGTTTACTAAACAACTATTTTAATAATCTGTTATAATTAAATTAATGTCGTCTTGTTACATCGGGTACTTCAAATCACAATTATTAGTTAAATTTATTAAATTTACAACTTTTAGTAATGTTACAGGCGCTAATGAATCCACATAACCTCAATGTACAGTTACTATATCTTGTAAAAATATCCCACACAGTGTAGGTTTTTTACCACGCATACACTGTATGTAAAATTAACAAAAAATTGTAATTTATCAATAAGTAACTTAAAATTAAAATTTTGTAAATATTTAATAACTTATATTTAATAAATAATTTCTAATAATAAAAATTAATAAACTAATATGTAAAAAAAAAAAAAAAACTCACCTCGTGAAAACGTCGGGATAATGAGTTCTGGAGAAGGCCTTTTCAAGTTCCTCCAGTTGAAAGCTGGTAAATGTCGTTCGATATCGCCGTTGTTTTCTTTTCGGTGCAAAATCGTCGATCTCAGCTTCACTCTCAGGACTCGTTGGCGCCGCCCTAGGATGTATACCATCGTCTTCGGGTCTCACATCCTCCGTAGAAATGCCCATCTGAATATCTTGATGACTCTGGCCTGTTTGATGGTGAGTATGGCTCACCTGAGACACCTGTTGGCTCGCCTGACTCACGCTGGAGCTGCTCGTACTGCTCGCAGGACTTGTCTGTGAGACAGCCTCGCTGCTACCACGTGCCGTATTATCTAAACAATAACAGACAAAATTTAATATAATTTAAATATTACAATAAAAAAAATAAAATTTATTCTTTCTTTCATCAGCAAATTTTTAATATTTTATTTTTATTATTAATTATGACTTAATTAGCTGTTAATTAAAAAATTAATAATATTCAAATGATAAAAATTAAACAAGTTTATTTTAAGTTTTTCAAATAATTTGAATTATTAATTCACATATTTTTATTTATTATTTTATTTATTTATAATAATAATAATTATTATTATTATTATTACATTTGTATTACTTATTTGTTTTATTTTTAAAAAAAATTATTTCTTCATGTTTTAATTTTAACCAAAAGTGATTTATAAAACAATATTCAAATTCATTTTATATGAGCGATGATTCGGGTATAAAGGTTTTTTTTTGTGACTTCTGCGGAGCTTGACTGATATAATACAAAGTGAGGCATCGTGAAAGGAACTAATTTTTTTTTCTCTCGTTCACGGTGGAGAGTTACAGTGTCAGAGACTTCACGCTGAGTCACAATCTCTGTCATGTTGAAGTAATTTTATTTTCAGCGCTAAATTATCACTAATTAGGCCAACACGCAGGAAGGATTTACGGTTCCATTTCCGCTAGTTTTATATATATATATATATATTTATTATATTTACGAAGCACAGACGCGCCCTCTTTTTTTTAACATTTTGTATTTTAATAACCAATAATTATGTCATTTTTTTTATCAGATTCTATTTTGACAGCATCTTATAAAGTAAAATTAAAAAATTTAGTCATAAATAAGTATAATTTCATATACTTATGCTCAAAATAATACATAAAGGATCAGAAAAAAATTTTTTCTGTGAATTCTAATAATTTTTCCTGTGTAGCGTTATAAACAGAAAAAAGAATTTATTTTATTCAAATAATCGGTTACTTGACTGTTATCAAATAAATATTTCCTTGCTCTCTAAATTTGAATCAGTGAAAAAGTCACTGGTCTCAAATCAGTCGCTAAATTCTAGCAATTTGAATCAGTAAAATTTCACTGATTTTCAGTCAAAGTAATTGATTCTCTAGTGAAATATCACTAACTATCAGTGAAAACCACTGATTCAAATAGCTAGAATTTAGCGACTGATTTGACTTTTTCACTGATTCAAATTTAGAGAGTGAACCAAATATAATGTTTATTTGTATCAATTTAAAGGTATTTATATTAAATACAAAAACTACTGATTCAAATAAAATTTATTTGATTCAAATAAAGATTATTTGGTCCAAATAAATATTTATTTGATAATAAGTAACCGATTATTTGAATCAAATAAATTTTTTTTTCAGTATATGTTGAAGTTAATTTGTCATTTTTAAAATTTGCTTATTTAAGCAGTTCTATTATATATTATTATTAATTTTATAATATTATCATTGAAATATTCATAAAACAAGTAAAAATTATAATTTTGATAAATTGCCATTCGAATTATATTGACGTTGATAAAAAAAATAAATTGTGCATTATAAAAAGGTGAATTAATTAAATAGATTATAACGATTAGCAAATTTAAATAATCTGACAGTAATATTCAGGTTTTAGACCTTTTATAGTTGACTGACCGGTCAATACATTAAATGCGCGGCTAATCAAGGATTTAATTACCATTATTCAAATTATTGAAATGACATTATAAAAGTCCTTAACATTGAAGATTAAACTTTTAACTCTTTTTTTCACAATTTTTCATTTTTATTTAATGTATATATATAAATTATTAATTAAAAATTAGTATCAAATATTTTTCAATAATTTTTAAAAAATTCTTCGATAATTTAATTATTTAAAATCTTTTTCAATTATAAAAATTCTCTAAAATTTAATTATTTTCTAAAATTTTTTTTAAAAAGTCTTTAAATTCGAATTTACAAAATTTTCAATTCAAAATCTTCCGAAAGATTAATTCTAAAAATTTGCACTGCAGCTGTTCTGAAATTCAATTATTTTTTAAATTACTATTTAAAATTCTTTGCCAAGTTAAAAATTCTTTAATATTCAATTATTGTCTGTGATCTGTCAAAAAAAAAAATCTTCAGCAGTTGAATTTTGCTGTTTTTTAATCAATTCAACATCAAACTTTGACATAATTCTGAATTCATAAATAATTAGCAGAAATTTTTTTTTTTAAAAAAAGTAACTTTTATATTTTTTTTTATATATCTAACATTTATGAAAATCATTGAAAATTTATTTTATTGTTAGTTCCATTTTGAAATATTATCTAAATAAAAAAAATTCTTGATAAATTCCTATGCAATTATTCTTATTAAGAAATTATAAAAATTTATTTTTAATGTCTTATAACAATGGTTAAAAGAAATAAAGGGACGTATGATTATTCCATAAAATTAATTAGTTAGAATTTTCATTTTCAAGAATTTTATTTTTAGATTCCAAACTTTTTAATTTCTTTTTATTTATTTATTATAACTAAATTTTGATTCATTAAAATTTTTAAAGGAGAGAAATTCCAATGCACTTAATCTTCATTTGTTTGAATTTTTTTTTTTTTACACAAATTGTTATTTAATATAATTTTTAAAACGATAAATCTTCATTCGTCTGAAATTGCAAATGGGCGAATATACAATCAACAGAAAAATTTAGGCTCAACTTTTAAAATTGACCAATCAGAAACTATCAAGAAAATCTTGATTAGTATAAACTTTAAAAATCGCTCCAAAATTTTTCTGTTAATTGTATATTCGCCCATTTGTAATTTCGGACAAATGAAGTTTCGGTAAATTGAAAATTCTGATATTTAAAAATACAAATCACTTTGAATTATGTTAAATTAATATAACGTTATAAATAGAAATTATTTTAAATAAAAAGTTGTGTAAAGAGAAATTCTATAAAATAATAAAAATTCTGTGAAATAAAAATTCGGTACCTAAAAATTCTGTAAAGTAAAAATTTGTTTAAAAAAAAATTCCGGCAAATATGCCAATTCGAAAAATAAAAATTCGTTTATAAAATAATTCTAACTAATAAAATTCTTGAAAATAAAAATTCCAACTAATGATTTTTATGGAGTAATCATGCACACCAAAATATTATAATTGAATTGAATTTATTTTCAAAAAATCGACTTTTTCTAATTGTAAAAAATCGACTAAAACGACTTTTATTTTGAAATAGCGGTAAATAAAAAGATAAATCTTAAACGAAAAAAAAGTAGAAAAAAAAAATTGCGCGATTTACTTTGAACATAGTTTTCTTAAATCACCTTTCACGCAATTAGTATTTAGTATAATCATCGATAGTATTGAAATGTTAATTCGAGGCATGACCGCGCAGATGTACAACATCGGTCAATTAAATCGCCGTTCAGGTTTTGAGGCGCCTTTTGCCCTATAGGCAAGCATCAACTTGCAGCAATAATATATAGGTATATGTACACGAGAGATAAGCATGATTGTGTAAGATGAGATGCCCGAACTGAATTTTCAGTTTACGTGTTTATATATATATATATACGAAACATAAACCATTCCTTTCACCGACCTTGCCGCATTAATGATTTCAAGCGAGCCCACACCTCGGCACGTTCGATGCTGCCGCCGCAGTGATCATGTAACAGGCTCGATTCACTTGTAACGACTGGAATCATTCTCACCGCGCCGTAGAGTGATCGATGCTTCATAGAGATTCTAAAGATCCTGAAAATCGTTACAAGCACGCGACGACTCTATACACGTGTATATACTTGTGTCTTTTGGACAATTCTCATATAGCGAAATAATGTGTCACGTAAATTGACAAATTTGTACAAATCAATCATGTCATCGGGAACGAAAGTTAATTTGTACCTTGAGGCTTACAAGTTTATAAATTATTGTCAATTTTTTTTCCAAAATCTCAAATTTGAAATTAAATTTAGTTATTTTTTATTAGAAATTTGTTTCGGTCTATATGAAATAACTAATTTAATAAGAAAAAGTAAGTTACTGATTGAAATATATATAGTCTTATAAATTTCCAAAATCCAAAAGATTGTGCAAATTCATGCAAGAACGCGATTTCAAAATTGAAAATTGGAAAGTAATATAATGACAGCTGCGACTTCGTGCTCCCTGCATACTTCTGACATCTGACGGCGACTGGACGTAATGAACCTCCTACAGACTGTCATTATATTACATTCCTGTTTCCAATTTTGCAATCACGTTTTCGCATTAATTCACAAAATCTTTCGGATTTTGGAAATTTATAAGACAAGGATCCTTTGTATATTGGCTGATTTTGTAAAAAGTGACAGTGTTTCGAGAAAAAAGTATTTTAAAATCAATGTTTATTATTTTCACATAAAGTACCGTTTTTAAAGAGTGATAATAAAAGGTCTCTCTTTGCCAAAAAATTTCAGAGACCGTTCAACACTCTTAATTATTAATTCGCCTAAAAGTGAATTTCAATCTATTCCATTTTAAAACTTCATGAACTGTTTAATTCTTTTAAATATTCAAAATACTGTAAGTAAGTCTCCCTTTAAGTACCTTTTTAATTAATTACATACAGTACAGCTGATATAGCTGCTTGGACAAGTTGTTCGACTTGAGTACTGAAAATCAAAGGTTCAAATCATCAGACCGTCATTTTTTTATGGATAAAATTTTAAAACGGTATTTAAAAAAATTGAATTGAGCTTATCAATTATCAATTATTCTTAATTCCTCGCTTCTTACTGGGTACTTAAATTCACTTTTAGGATATGTCAAAATAATTAAAATATTTTGGTAACTAATTCAATTAGTCAAATTCGACTACTTTATTAGTTATTTTTTCACTGAAAATTAATTTTACTTTTTATTAATTACACGGAATAAAAGATAATATCAAATTTTATAAAAGTATTTTACAATTGTAAGACAAAATGCGACAAAGCGGAAGTTTGATATCAGAAATACTAAACTTTAAAAAAAAAATTAAATTTAGTAGTTGTATTAAAATTTATTA